TTTATAGCTTAGAAATGAATTCATTTGCATGTTCTTGGACAAGTTTTCTTTTTCAAGGTTATTTTTTATATCTATTGTATGTATCATTTAAATACTTTTGAAATGTAATTATTTATCGAGGACCAAAGGTAGTGGATAACTATGCCATTCTTAGCTAGGTAGTTATCTAAGCAATAGATGTCCACCAATTTGGCAGCAATAGACTGGATGTATTATATTAGTACCAATAATGGATCTATCTTTAGATTTTTTGGCAGCTTGTATTCTTTTGAAGCCTGTATTCTTTATATTTAACACAGGGACTTCTGTCATGTACTGAAGTGCACTGTTATCAACTTTATAAAAGTGTTTTGCCAAGTACCCTGTGGCATTTGTCTCATGATTCAAAGTACACCTGCAGCTTTCATTGAAATTGTTTTGTGTGTTCTGGGAACAGTTGTAGAGAATTATACATCTTTCTAAACAAAGGAAACCAGGATGGCCATTGTTTTTCCATGGCTTGGTTGGTACAAGTACAACATTTCACAGATCATTGGAGCACCGCAGGGCAAATATGTAACCTTGAGAGCCTATGTGGATGCTATCAAGCTTGAGGACAAGGGGCCCTATTGGAGTTTGCAAAATAAAAAACACCCCTATGGTATTGCATTTTCCAACTTCTTACTCTCAAAAAAAAATCAAAGCTAGCTAAAAATACAGGGCTGCTTTTTGTGCATTGATCTACTCACCTAGGTCAGCTACTATGGAGTTATTCTTTCTGTGCACAGGAAATGAGGTGAATCAACACACAATGCAGAGGGAGCCATGCTGAAAATAAAACAGAGCCTATCCTATGTGGATTTTTCATACTATTAAAACTGTATTAAATATATTTAATTAATAGAATTTGTATCTATCTATGGTATGATTTTATAGATAAGAACAAATAAAGGAATTATATTCATCTATGCAGTTTCAAATATATGGTTAGAAATGATTTCACAAAGAAAATTTTTTTTTAACAGTATTCTATACTATTAATACCACTATCATAATCCCATTACAATATTATAATGCTGTACTAATAATAATGCTCATTTTGTTTGTAGAAACGATATCTGTGATGAGAAGAGAAGAGGCAGGTGAGACTATAGTACTACTAAAGTCTAATTGATATTTTCCTACTAAACATAAACAGAAGTGTTGACTGGACTCAGATTGTAATGTAGTTTATAAAACTGAGTTACAAACATTAATAGATGTAGCTCTATATTAACTACATGCCAACTGCCCTATAGCAGAAGTACTGCTACAGGGTGGCACAGCTGTGCAAAATCACACATACAGTATATATATATATATATATATATATATATATATATATAATATACACACACAAGATTTGCCACTATTGGTGGCTGGGGATGTCTATCACTCAGCCGGAACTCGGTGGCCGTCGGCAAAGCTGACAGGGGGAAAGACCTGTGTGTAAACAACACAGGTCTCTCTACTGTCAGCATGGACATGCTGCTTTGTATCTCTCTCCACAGCATGTCTCCCAAGTAAAACAGCACACACCACACAATGTAAAAACACACACCGCACTGTTAAGCCTTTGATTGACCCAGATGTTAACCCCTTCCTGCCCAGTGTCATTAGTACAGTGTCAATGCTTTTTATTAGCACTGATCACTGTATTGGTGTCACTGGGAATGTCAGTGGCAGTTAGTCCCCCCCAGCGTCAGAATGCCTGCTGCAGTCCCGCTATAAGTTGCTCATCGGCGCCATTACTAGTATAAAAAAAAATAAAAATTTCAGTATATATACACAACCATTTGTAGACGCTATAACTTTCACGTAAACCAATTAATTTACACATATTGGGATTTTTTTTTCAGCAAAGGCATGTAGCAAAATACATTTTGGCCTAAATTGATGGCGAAATTTGACTTTTAAAAATGTATTAAATATGTTTTATAGCAAAAAGTCAAAAATATAGGTTTTTTTTTTCAAAATTGTCTATTTATTTTGTTTATAGCGCAAAAAAATAAAAACCGCAGAGGTGATCAAATACCACTGAAAGAAAGCTCTAATTGTGGGAAAAATTACATAAATTTCATTTATGCACAGCGTTGCAATTGTCAGTTAACGTAACACAGCGCCATATCGCAAAAAATGGCCTGGTCAGGAAGGGGGGTGAATCCTCTGGAGGGCAAGTGGTTAACACATGCTCTGTATATGTATGTCCCGTATATGGGGTATATGTTTAGGTGATACTAGAGGTCTTTGACATTCTGAAAGTGAAAAATGATACCAGATCTTTACTGCTAATCTAGCAATATTGGCATTTGCCAAAAGAGCTGGTGCATTTTATAATGTTTGAAAACTAGAATATTCTTCTTTTTTGCTGCTCAGATGTCACACATTTAGATAAATCTATTTATATAAATCTGCAAGGTTCAGTGCTGCTTATTTGTATGGTTCCTTGGGATTCACAAATATAGACATAAGGCTATGACCAGAATATACCAGCCCACATCTTTAATTATTACACAACTTTGCTCCTGTAGACTTGGCAAAGTCGTGTAGTAAATACAGATGTGGGCTAGCATACTGAAGCTGCATATTACCTTTTGTCTTGCCCTTGGTTTCAGTAATGAAAATGAACCATGCAGACAGCCCATGGACTAATTCCACAACTTCACAGCTCTGTTACATCAATTAAGAAAATGTAATCATGCTTTGAATGATTGTATGACAGTATAACTCCAAAGTTATTTCTAAAAAGTGATAAACTGCTCTATTACAGTCAAATGCAAATTTGCGTGTTTAAAGTGAATGTAACCCCTAACAATTAACTTCTCTTATTTGCTACCATTGGTAGCACTTTGTTATATCTTGATAAGTGCAGAAAGACCCCAGATATTATTTTGAACTACAGAATAAGCCTTAAAGTGATACTAAAGGTTATTTTTTTTTTGTTAAATAACAAACATGTCTATACTTACTTGCTCTGTGTAGTGGTTTTGCACAGAGCAGCCTGGATCCTCTTCTTCTTGGGTCCTCCGCAGGCTCTTCTGACTCCTCCTGTCTGTCGGGGGCCCCTACACAAGCAGCTTGCCATGGGGGCACCCGCTGCTCCATATGTCCATTCACACATAGAGCTGCGGCTCTCCTCACTGGCTGACTGGCTGTGATTGACAGCAGTGGAAGCCAATGGCTACCGCTTGCCGTCTCAGCCAATAAGGAGGCAGAGACTCGGGACAGCCGAGGCTGTCATGCACATCGCTGGATCTCGATGAGGCTCAGGTAAGTATTGAGGGGTCTGTGGGCACTGCTGCACACAGAAGGTTTTTTACCTTCATGCATAGAATGTATGAAGGTAAAAAACCTTGAGTCTTTACAACCACTTTAAAGTGATACTAAACCCACAACAGTAAAATCAGTCTGTTTATGCAGTAAAACATGCTTGTTATACTCACTGTGGAACCTAAGGGGTTAATCCTCTGCATTGTGTAAAAAGGCTGTTTGATCTTGACTTCTCTGATCCTCCCCTTCTTCTAGTGTCTCCCTCTTATCTCCTGAAAAGACATATCGTGTGGAGTCACTCTGCACAATCTCTCTGGTATGTATTGCTAGAGAGGTTTTTTTTTAATTTTCTTGGGAGAGTGCATGTGATCAGCACAGGGCCAATCAGCACTGTCCAGACAGAAGCCAGGGGTTCTGCCTCCTCCTAGAGCAAAATGAAAACTCCTCCTACAAGCTTTAACATGTGCTCGGCTGGACACTAATAGAAGTCACAAGACTGCTCTAACTGCTGATGAGAAAAGGTACTTAGCAGTTTATATTTACTAAAATAATTGCATTTCATGTTGTGTGTACTGTGGGAGACCAGATATAGTGAATGCAGGATCCTGGGTTTAGTAACACTTTAATGTTGTAAAGATGTGAACGTGGGAGTGGTTAAGAAGTATAGCAAGGCTGAAAATACTCAGCCCACAAAATTGCTGTGGGAGTTATTTACTAAAGCAGCATGGTGCAAAATCTGGTGCAGCTCTGCATAGAAACCAATCAGTTTCCAGGGTTTTTTGTCAAAGCCTAATTGAACAAGCTGAAGTTTGAAGCTGATTGACTGCCATGCACAGTAGCACCAGATTCTGAGTGCACTAGTTTTAGTAAATTTGCCCCTCTGTGTTGTCAGCCAACAGGACTTATTTTTCTTTACTTGCAGGGTCTCTAAAAGGGAAAAACACAGGGAAACGTACATGTAATACATGGGCGTATTTTTTTTTTTTTGCCTTGACATAGACTTTGTTTCTAAAGATGACAGCCCCAGGCTTCTGGAGTCCCCTGGCACTTCTGTAGACAGGCCGCAATCTATGTTTTTTTAAATTAATATATGTCTCCTTAAGTTAACTGACTTTAATTACTGCAGTATTAACCATCTATCAAAGGGTTATAGATGTAAAGATTTTTATTTTATCAGAAGATCTGAAAGCATTGATACATATATAAAAGAACTCCATTTTTTAAGCCTATGTACAGATTATAATTTAGTCTGGAGTTGAACAATTTACCAGGCCCACTTTTGCTTGGTCCCTCATACTGTCAGTACAAAATTTGTTTGCAAATTTTGCAATATCAGAACTGGCCAAACACAGCCTTATTATAACTAGGCTAAGACACCCTAGATCTATTCCTACTGAGCCATGAACAAGCTTCATTAGTTTAGATTTGCAGTTCCATGTAATAGAACTATGGTATGCTTGTTTGAAATAATAAAAGTTGCCTGAAAGATATTTGTGTGGTTCTCATTTGAAAATAGCCAACAGATCCATTTATTGTGGTCAGAGGCTCATTTGACATCTTTGTGTTATTTAACTTCAGTGTAAGGCTCATGCAGCTTTACTTTTGAGCGTATTACAGCGTAAATTGGGCAATGTTTCTAAAAAAAACAAACAATCTACAAAAACACAATAATGTAGTGATGCAAATTCAGACATTTTTATTGATTTATTTTTCCTGCAGAAATACGATTAGTGAATGGAGTGAGCCGCTGCCAGGGAAGAGTTGAAGTTCTACATAATGGAACCTGGGGAACAGTGTGTGATGACGATTGGGACATTGTAGATGCAAATGTTGTTTGTCGACAGCTGGGTTGTGGCCATGCTATATCTGTACCAAACCGGCTCCTTTTTGGTCAAGGCACAGGACCAATTTATCTAGATAATGTGGACTGCAAAGGAAGAGAAACAGCACTAAGCCAATGCAGAAGCCTTGGATGGGGAGTTCATAACTGTTATCACTACGAGGATGTCGCTGTCACCTGTAATGGTAAAAAGGTTTGGTTCCAGTCTGTAATAGAAATGATTAAAAAAAAGGTTATACTACTGTATTATGTTGCGTTGACATGACATGAATAATACCAATGTGCAGGGGCGGACTGACAACTTATGGGGCCCCCGGGCAATAGGGGATCATGGGGCCCCTGTGTCCTTGCACACACTCAAAAAAGCCTATAAAAAAGGTACCAGGGGCATTTCATGGGGCCCCCTACTGACCCTGGGCCCTCAGGCAGTGCCTGAGTGCTCAAATGGTCAGTCCGCCCCTGCCAATGTGTACCAGTTTTGTTAGGAGGAACAGCATGTACAACAACTAATTTTTTACAAAGTTCTCCCAGTTGCAACAGGTGATTACCTACATCTTGCTGTTCAAAAGAAAATCACCTATTGCAAGCTACAAAGAAATGAGTTAAACCCCTTGACGCCGACATCACACAAATATGCAGCCTCACAGAACTGGCCTTTTTTCCGTGGGGCCACATATTTGCGTACCTGTCTTTGTGCTGGGAGAGCGCTGCACAGCGTGCTCCCAGCACAAAGTCCGGGGTGTCACTGAGAGCCCCAGGTCCCATTCTAATATTCGTGACACGGGACTCCCGATTCCGGGCCAAATGATCGCTGTGATAGCCTCTGATTGGCTATCACAGTGATCAGTCACTGTGAAGCCCTCCCCCCTTGGTTTACTTTTTCTCTCTGAATGAAGTATCTCTCTCTCTCTCTCTCCTTGCATAGAGGGAAACAAAAGTTAAATACATAATTAAATAAATAATAAAAAAAATAAAATAAAAAATAAAGAGAAAATACCTAGATCAAGGTTGAATCTAGTTCATTGCCAGGGTTAGTGTTTGGGTCAAGGTCAGAGTCAAAGTTCAAGGTCAAAGGTCAGTTTTTTTTTTTTTTTTAAATTGGTATCAGTGTCAGTAAGTGTCAGTGTGTTTTAGGTAAAAAAAAACCCCAAAAAACAAAGTGCACACTATTGTTTCTGGGCTGTTGTACAGGTACAAACAGCAAATAACAAACACATATATGGTATTGCTGTGATCGTCAAGAGCTGTATTTTGGGTTGTTCTTTGGTGGTAGGTTATGGTAGTAAAAAGAAACACACAGATAAATTTAAAAAAAAGTATTTTTTATTACTAATTTGGGCCAGTTTTCCTTTGATAATAAAAAAAATCAGGAGATATCCATTACCATTTACCACCAAATGAAAGCCCAATTTGTCCTGAAAAAAACAAGGTATAATCCACCTAGATGTACAAAGCAGTTGTGATGATATGTACGGTTTTACTAACACATGTCAACGTTGCAAAATTTCACTTAGACTTTAAGATTTGTTTTACCCTTAGGCGTGAAGGGGTTAAGAATAAAAAAAAAATTCAAACTAACTTCCTTTTATGTTTGTTGTACAAAAGGCAGTTTGAATCAAGTTTATTGAATCATATTTTAATAACATTTTATACCAGATGCCTCTATGGATTTTACAGTAGAATAATACTATGTACAAGTTACACTCACCAGCCACTTTATTAGGTACACCTTGCTAGTACCGAGTTGGACCCCCTTTTGCCTTCAGTACTGCCTTAATTCTTCATGGGAAAGATTCAACAAGGTGTAGGACACATTCCTCAGAGATAGCCTCACAAGTTGCTGCAGATTTGTCAGCTGCACATCCATGATGCGAATCTCCCAATCCACCACATCCCAAAGGTGCTCTATTGGATTGAGATCTGGTGACTGTGGAGGTCATTGGAGTATAATGAACTCATTGTCATGTTCAAGAAGGAAGTGGCCATCAGAAGATGGGTACACTGTAGTCACAAAAGGATGGAAATGGTCAGCAACAATACTTAGGTAGGCCATGGCTTTAAATGATGCTCAGTTGGTACTAAGGGGTCCAAAGTGTGCCAAAAATATATCCCCCACACCATTACACCACCAGCCTGAACCATTGAAACAAGGCAGGATGGATCCATGCTTTCATGGTGTTTATGCCAAATTCTGGCCCTACCATCTGACTCATCAGACCTTGCAACGTTTTTTTCCAATCTTCTATTGTCCAATTTTGGTGAGCCTGTGCAAATTGTAGCCTCCGTTTTCTGTTCTCAGCTTACAGGAGTGGCACCCGGTGTGCTCTTCTGCTGTTGTAGCCCATCTGCTTCAAGGTTCGATGTGTTGAGCATTCAATAGATGGTATTTTGCATACCTTGGTTGTAACGAGTGGTTATTTGAGTTACTGTTGCCTTTCTATCATCTCCAACCAGTCTGCCCATTCTCCTTTGACATCAACAAGGCATTTTTGTCCACACAACTGCCGCTCACTGGATATTTTCTCTTTTTTGGACCATTTTCTGTATACTCACTCTAGAGATGGTTGTGTGTAAAAATACCAGTAGATCAGTCTTTGAAATACTCAGACCAGCCTGTCTGGCACTGTGATGACTAAGCACATGTTTGTGTGAAACAGGATTACTGTTCTTTGTCCAGTGTGGAAGCTGTTATGTCTACACTGTACTGCTTGCGTAGACTTCAATAAAGGATTTTACATCTGCTACACTGTTGACAGTGTGGCAAACCTATTTCTTTCTTCGTCTGGCACCAACAACCATGCCACATTCAAAGTCTTTTAAATCCCCTTTCTTCCCCATTTTGATTCTCGGTTTGAACTTCAGCAAGTCACCTTCACAATGTCTTGATGTCTAAATGCATTGAGTTGCTGCCATGTGATTGGCTGATTAACAATTTGTGTTACCCAGCAATTGAACAGATGTACCAAACAAAGAAGCTGGTGAGTGTAATTGTATTGATAGACCACTTGAGCACTGGGCACTCTTTTAGGGACTGCATTTACTTTTCTAAGTCCCAATGACAAGTTAAGTTGCCCATTGTCAGTGAAGTTGTGTGCTGGTACTGTTGATGATCAGTGAGAGTTAGGCTTTAGTGATTCTCTCAACTTGATGGCTTCTAATCCTACTATAAACTATTCTAAAGTGTCCTATATCACTATGCAAACATGATTTTTTTCACTGTGTGTACAGGGAAAATCTTGTGAAGTATTCTCTTTATTTCCTGGGAGCCCTAGCAGCCATCTTAGAACAGGTCACAAATGAGCCATACCCTTCCTCCCCCTCCAGCAATAGATCCCTGCAGTAATGATCTCGTGGTTACTGAAACTAATGCTATCTGAATAATATAGTAAGTGATCTATTTCTGCATGAAAGAGATGACTGAATCAGGCCCCCTTGGCTTGATCAACTAACACATGAACAGAAAAACTGAAAGAAAACGTTTAAAAGTGTGCATAAAATAAATAAAATATTGTGCTTAAAAAAGATTCCAACTCCCTATCAATTGTCAGATCCCAGTAAACACGATGGATCTTCTGTAACACAGAGGAATCCTTAGAATAACTTTCAGGTTGAGGAAACCTCTGCTAATATCTAGTATATAGCTCACATTCCATTAGTGAGAACAGCAGCAAAATACAAATAAATATAAGAATTGGGAATGTGACACGTTTTCTGTATTTGACACCTAGGGCTGCTCTATACAACAACATTATTTTAATAATAATAACATGAATACGTTGAATGAATAATAATAATGGCCAAAAAATCAGGCCTCGTTCACAGTGCGATTTCTCTTGCATTTGCCATCACACGGCAATGCATGGCAATGGAAATCACCTTATTATCTATGGTGTCCATTCACATCTATGCACAATGGTGCAGTCCCCTTTAAGTGAAGCATAGTATGTTTTTGGCCCCCTAGAATACTGTGTGTACATGCATTTTTGGTCTGTTTTTAGGAAGGTTTTATGTTGAACAACCTATCTCCTCCTACAAAAAAACATGAAGCATGAAAATGCATCAAAAACAATGTGAAATGTACATAAATGTACTACAGAGATGCACAAAACACCTGATTATGCAGCAGCACTGGTGTGAACTAAGGCTTAATACACAGAGTGAAAACAGCAGTATTCCCTCACATTACTGGTCAGTGGAGAATTATCTGTTTACTATGATGGTCAAAATAAATCCCCCCCATCTGTGATTAGTGAAATGGCCCTTTAATTTAGTTACCAGTGTGGTGCCACTTTGGTCGTTAGTGGAGAAGGGCCCCATTATGCTGGGGGTCAGAGGTAAGAATGCTCCTTACATTGGTGGTCAATACTAAAAATGCCTCACTTATAGATAGCTAAAAAGATAATTGGCGTCAGTGATTTTTTTTATCTAAAAGTCAGAAATTGCTCAAGAATCTCTTAACAACCTACCAAAACTCTAGGGTTCCATAGAACCCTGTCAGAGAAAGGTTGCTGTGTAATATCTGCTAGGCATGTGCATTTTGTTTTGTACAGAAATGATTTTTTGGCCAAAAATTATATTTTTGGAGATTCAGATACACAATGGGTAAAATAAGCAGTAAACACGTCACCATTTTTCTCAGTAAATATATTTCTAAAGGTGCTATTGACATTAAATTTTTACTACATGTCGCTAACAACCCGTGCAATCCATACATACAAAGAAACCAAAACAAATAAGTTCAGAAATTAAGTTATGTGTAATAAAATGGAATGACACAGGGAAAAAGTATAGAACACAAAGAAAGGGAGGTGCAAAAAAGACATGGAAAGCCAAGACACCAGCTGAAATCTATCAGTAATCAGAAAGCAATCCTGTCCCTTGTCAGTGCAAATGAATATCAGCTGGTTCAGTCTCAAATGATGGCCTATAAAAAGGTGTCTCTTTACCAAGGTATTACACAAGAAACATCTCATGATGGGTAAAAGCAAAGAGCTCTCTCAAGACTATCACAACCTTATTATTGCAAAACATACTGATGGTATTGGTTACAGAATAATTTCTAAACTTCCAAATGTTTCTGTGAGCACTGTTGGGGCCATAATCCGTAAGTGGCAAGAACATAATTTCACCATAAACCAGCCACGACCAGGTGCTCCTTGCAAAATTTCTGTCTGACAGAGGAGTG